TGTGTATCACTTAGGAGAGACGTGCTTTGTCTTCAAGAGACGCACACAGGGATTTTTATGCACCATTCACTTGCTCTCCTTTAAAGAGAATAAAAACTTAGAAACACTTTAAAAGCTTGTGTTACAACATGGGAATGCAACTTTTGGCATATGAGTTATTTCCTGTTTTGTGGAAGTAAGAATCTGGCTTATTTTCTGGTTCTTGCAGCTCATTCAATGATTGAACTACTTTGCTTAGCTGAGAAAATTTTCTCTTAGTGCTGTGTTCCTGTGCCATCAGATCCACAAGGCATGGCACACAATGAATTTGCAGATTGCATTTCTCTAAGGTACATTGTTTAGCTGCCTCTATCATGCTCCTGCTTCTCTTACAGCAGTCATCTGCTCTGCCTGCTCAGTGTTACCACTTGGGTAGATTTTTTTCCACCAGCTTCTGCCATGTGGAACCACCTTCTTTTATCTCCTAAGTTCATTAGGTCTTCATAGTTTTTTAAATATTGTCTGAAATTACAACTGTTTTCTTTCACCTTTTACTCTTCTGTGTTTGGACATATTTCACTAGAGCAGGTTGCCCAAAGCCCCATCCAACCTGACTTGAACACTTCCAGTGATGGGGCGTTCCATCTTTGAGCAACCTGTGCCTATGTCTCACCATCTTAAAAAAAAAAAATGCTTCCTTCCTGTCTAAATCAACACTTGATAAAACAAAGTATTATTAGAAGGTTTCACAAAGACAGAAACCTATAACCCCATGGCTACTTTCTTCCTATTGAGGAAAGACTATTACCAGGCTCTGGTTTTGTAGCTTTTATCAAAAGAGTTTTCACCAGGACAGCACTACTGTTTCACTCTGTGTGTATAAATACAAAAATGTCACAGTCTCAGAATGGCTGAGGCTGCAGGACAACTCTGGAGACTGCCCCATCCAACCACACTGCACAGGCAGAGTCAGCCAGAGCCCGATGCCCCAGGCTGCTTGCATTTGAGTTTGAAATATGCAAAAGACAGATGAGGATTGCACAACTCGTCTGGACAACCTGTTGAGAAGTTTGATTGCTTAAGTACACTCCCTGTCAGGATGCTTTTCTCAATCCTCGGTACCATTCCTATGTACTCTGATGTACTCTGGGGTATGCTTAACAGTTAGATATCTTGTGCTTACCCATTCACTGCCCAGAGAAGCTGTGGATGCCTCATCCCTGGAAGTGTTCAAGATCAGGCTGAATGGGGCTTTGAGCAACTTGGTCTAGTGGAAGGTTTCCTACCCATGACAGCGAGAGCTTGACATTTGGAGTGAGATAATCTTTAAGGTCTCTTCCAACCCTAGCCATTCTGTGATTCCACAGTTTTCCTGGAAAAGCTAAGAGAGCACAGCTTCTAAAACTGATCAACACAACATGGATTTTGTAGCTTCTCCTGACTCCAAGAGATTTTTTAACAAAGTTTCTACTGCTTTATTGTTTCCCAAGTAAATGATTTTGTAAGATATGTTATTCATATGTCTGGTGCTCTGGTGCTCCCTCTGTATTGTTATCTCTAAAAATGCTTGAAAATGTGGAGTTTATGTTTGTTCATTATCCAGAGGTCTTAGCAGCTTCTGGCTCTGTGGGAAACTAATGGGGTAGAGGGCTGAGATGCACTTGATACTCTGTGATAAAGTAAGATTGAGATCTTCAGAAATAATTGAGAGGAAATGAAAAAACAATGTCTCCTGTCATAAAAGTATGGATCATAGAGTGCATAAATCATTCTTAACAGTGGATTAATACTAACCACCCTGAATGCTTTAAGAAGAGGTCAATGTGCCGAGGTAAGGTCAATAAAAAAACTGATTAGAGAACTGACTTTTTTTCTGAATTTAGTGATAAACCTTAGTTTGTAGATGAGTTAACTGTTTGGCACATTATTTTTCTTTCAAAGTGCACTAGTAGCACTGAATATTGGATTTGCAGACTTTGCTGAAATCATTGCTCCTAGAGCTGGAAGAGGTCAGTTGTCTGTCTTGCACAGAAAGTATCCTGAAAGATGGAGAACTGCGGGAAAACCACTTATTCCCACTTTCCCAACCTATTGTTTTATTATGCAGAAGATACAGTTTATTGCTGTTTAGAGATGCAACTCCATCTACAGTAACATTATAATAAAGAAATATTTTATATACTTCATATTTAACTTTCAATTAGGCAAAACTTCAGAAGTGGTTTAATTTCAGGGTTTTTTTCTCTCAGATATTTTCATGGGTTGCAGAGGTTTATTAAGCAGCATATGATTTCCATGTGGGGTTGTGTTTTTTGGGGTTTTTTATGTTGGTTATACCAACAGAAGAAGTGGTCTAATGTGCTCTTTTCATTCATGTCAGTAGTAAATATAAATACAGACAGTAATAAATGATTCTTTTCATTATTTTTCAACTTATTGGGCAGTAGGAGAACCTGGCAGTCCAGGGAAACATTATGTTGCAAATAATCCTCTTACCAGAGAGAAAAAATTTGTCTCATGCATTATAAAATATAGCAAGCAGTCAAGTTAAACAAATATATTCATTCTAATGGTACCTCAAAGCTGTGTAGCAAAGGTGTCTGCAATCTCAGGTAGAAAATCTGCTTAAAATTTTGAATCTTGAGATGGTTATTGTTTATCTTGATCTTTCCTTTTCTTCCTTGCAATGCAAGGACAAATCTTGTACCTTGTTAAAGTCAAAGTGAGTTTAGTTTTTTACTTCATTGGTGCCAGGATTTTGTCCGTAGCCTGTATGATTCTTCCACATAGGTAAAATTTTACATTTGCTATTAATTATGAGTCTGACTCTTCATCTGAGGCAACCATATCATAAGAAAGGTGACAAGCATATTGATTTTCCATTCATTTTATGTCTTTGATGGTGGGGGTCTTTGGCGTAGTGGGTAAAGTTCCCTACATGATGAATAGTCCCTAGCTTTTACAACACCCCTTAGCTGAGCTGACAGAAATGTTTTTGATGTTGCAGCTTACTGTTGGGAAATGCTGATGGAGCTGAATGAAAACACTCAGTGGGAATGTGTCAGTGAGATGAGATTTTCATGGGAAAGCAGGAAGACTTTCAACCTGGCCAGCCACCTGTTTGCTGGTCACCTTTGCCTATAGATGTTTGTGAAAATCTATATTTCACATGAATCATAAGATCATAGAATGGTTTGGGTCAGAAGGGACCTTAAAGATCAAACAGTTCTAACTCCCTTGACGTGAACAGGGATACCTTCCACTAGATGGGGTTGCTCAAAGCCCCATCCAACCTGGTCTTGAACACTTCCAGAGATGGAGCATCCACAGCTTCTCCGGGCAACCCATGCCAGTATCTCACCACCCTCACAATAAAGAATTTCTTTCTTATATTTAATCTAAGACATGAAAATTCAGGTGAATTTTAGTGCCAGTTTGGAAGAAGAAAAGAATTGTTTGGAAAAGTTGAAGCTTTAAGGGATCTCAGTTTTGTCATCTGTACAAACCCTTCCATGTAGTAGCATTGCATCTTTCTAATAGGTTATTGCTATTAGTATTGGAGTAGCAAGAGTGTTCAGGAATTGAGATTGCATGGGGGTTTTTTCTGTTCTGAACCAAGAATTGTTATTTTCATGTCCTATTTATGCCTTGTAGACATGTTATTTAGACATGAGCCCTTTGTATGACTGAGTCTCTGAGAAGCCTCTTAGATATGTTTAAAATTGCTTCATTTTTTTCACTCTCTAAAACATACTTTGGACATAGGATTCAAAATAAATGTTTTAACTCTGTCTTGCCCTTTCTTCTGAACACTCCACTCAGAGATATTCTATGCTTTTATTTGGTTCCTTCTGGTTGATCATGTTTCATGCATTCTTTAATCACAATATGGAGTAGAGTGGTGATTGAGGGTCAGCTCTGAAAATCCGAAGTGGTAATTGATGGTAATTTGAATCTTCACTTAAGTGACTGTTGAAAGGTCTTGGAGAGAACAAAGGGAAGTGTTTATGTCAAAATTATTTTTTTAATCTGTTTTTCATGGGGTAGGAGAAACAGGTTATATATTTTCAGAAGATGGTTGTGTAACCTGGTAGACTTTTTTTTTTTCTTTCTTTTCTTTTTTTTTTCTTTTTTTTTCTTTTTTTGGTGCCCTTCTGTGGTGGAACCTGTCCATCTGTTTTTCTGTCTTTGTGATCAGCAAAAAAATATGTGAAGCAATCTCCTTGACGGATAAGAATCTGGATGTGTGATTGTGTTTCCACTCAGCTAGCTTAACTTTCTGAGTTAGTATCCTGCAGGTCCTGAAGAAAGCTAAACAAAACCAAAACCATACCGGAGAAACTGCTGCATGCATGTGACAAAGAACAAATGAGCTGGGACAGCAGAAATCCTATAGGTCTCTTGTATTTGATAGATTACCTTCCCTCTAAATAGCTGTTACACAGTTGACTTAGTCCACTAAAGAGAAGAGGTACCTCGTTTGCTGTCTTCTGATTGTATACAAGTATTTGTCTACTCTCCTAGGGTAGGATTTTGGTTCCTGGTCATTTTAAAATGTAAGGCATTTTTTCTTTATGACTTGAGACTTTTCATTGTGACTTTGGAATCAGGATTGACTTGTAGTGACAGCACTGTTCAAACAATATTCAGACAGAACAGGGAATGTGTCAAAGATTTAATCTAAACTACTCTCAAAATACTATCAAATAGCCTTTTAAGACGAGATGAATACCTTGTGCTTTTTTATTCTGGGGGAGAAAACGTTTTGATATGTAGTTCAGCAACACTTGCAGTGCTTGAGCAAAAAGAAAGCTTGGGAATTTTTAGGAGACCTACTGGGTAGAAAACAGGTGAGAAAGTAACACTGCTCTCAAATACAGCCTCTGTTTTCTCATTGCATTAGCATGTTATTAAGTAAAAATATTATTCTAATATATAATTTCTGGTGATACAAAGAAACATCTTTGTTTTACCTGCATTGTAAAGACTAATCAGACTGTTGTTTTTGCTTCCTTTTATAGGTCGCCTTTTTGAAGATGTGAAGAATGCAGATATAGTTGAAAACGATTGTCAAATTTATTTTCAGCAGGAACGTGTACAGATAACTTCCAATGGTGTGACTGCTAGAAAAAATCCTGGCAAACCAAAAGAACATGGGTGTGTGCTGTGTATTCTTCATATCTGAATGTGTTTCAAAACCAAAGACAGTTGACTTCTGCGTCCAGTACATTCTTAGATGTCATTCTAAGAGTGACTTACCTGTGACTCCTCTGACATCCAGCTGGGATAACTGTTATGATGTCTTCATTGCCAAAAGGAAATTCTGTACCTTTATCAGTGTTTGATAGCAATGTATGTGTCCTTTGGAAAGTTCACAACTGTAGCAAATATTTTAAAATATTTAATGTCATGGATACCAATGTAAGTTCTTTACTTTCTCTGTTTTGGTGAAGTTAGAGGTCCAACTTTAAAACATAAAATCTAGTTTTTGTAGGACTTATATGTTTCTCACCTAAATTGTTTCCACATTAAAGCGTACCTTTCTGCTTGTGAGGGAAGGCAGTTTCTGTATTCCTACACCATACGTAAGGCTTTTTAAACTAATAATGTTTTGGTTACTGGGCATAATCATTCCTTCAACTTCAACAAAGAGCCAAGTGTGTGATGGCTGACCCTGCAGAAACTGCTGGAGGTGAAAGATACTTGTAGAAAGTCAATACAGCTGCTCTCAACTGTTGTTCTCTGTTGTGGGTGCTCAGCTGCCTTCCATGGGAGTGATAGCATATTTACATGGGACACGGAAGCTGTTGACATTTTTGGTTTTGGAATGGATTATTTACCTAGTTGGTAGAAAGTTTTGCCTTCCTTTGTCCAGGGGAACAGGATGGCCTAAGTTCGTAGGCCAAAGATCAGAAAAGAAGTCTCCTGGAATTTTTGCCTCAGTTCCTGCTTGTTGGGATGGACTGCTCTTGAGTTAGAAGGAGGTGGTCCTTTAGTATCAATCATCTCTCTTATCCCAGATATCCCAGACCCTCTGGACCTTTTTGGAAAACAGCAGTATTTTGGGAAAATGAATTCTAGAGGGAATATTCTTGTTAGATGAGTTTGAAAATTTCTGAATTTCAAGGAAAGTTAACACTCCCTTTACTTATTGAATGATCCTAACGTAAGAAGTGACCCTACAAAGTGTGGGAAACCTGGGTTTTACACATCCGAAGACAAGTAGCTGAGGCCTCCCAGAACCCAGTCTGGATATATTTGTTCTGTTATTATTTTAGTTTTCAGTATTAAAGGATGAACAAAATTATTCTGAATGTTGTATTCGGTGACTAAGTAATCTAGCTTCAAGGTATTTTGTCTATGCACCTATGTTTAGTCATTTTATGAATAAAATATTTTTTTTCTAAATTAGTTTACTATTTGTTCTGCCTAATTTCTGTGACAGTTTCAGCTTCCCAGAGTATAACTGAGCAATTTGAAGAGGGAAGCCATTCATATCACACTGAAATACTCCAACTTTAAAATCTTTTTCAGCCTCTTTAAATGACCTCTTTTATTGTTTTGCATATATGGGGCAATCTTAGGTTAGGGAATATTTGTGCTTTTGAGGTTCAATCTCTGTCATGTCCTGCCTCATTTGGTATTGTGGCCATAAAGAATTAATCTGCCTCTGGTAACATACATGGTTCCAGAATAATGAGTGCAGACATTCCATTGTGAGTATTTTTTTGGGACAGTGCCCTTCCAGAGGTGAAAGACCAATCAACCCAATCCAGCCTGATCTGTCTCTCACCTGTAGGAGTTAATGGCTCCCATTATGCTACTACAATGGCAGAGCTGCAGCAGGCTCAGGAAGGAAATCCTGAGAGAGTGCCAAGCCCAGTGTGTAAACTTAAAACATGAAATTTCTTGGCAGCTTGTCCTCTATATGTACGTTTAAAGCTTTTGCTTGTTCATTTCCTCCTATTCCCACCTCTCCTAGTAAACAGGCTGAAGGTGGGCAGAAGTTAGGAGGGTGGGACACAGCAGGGACAGCTGACCTGAACTGACCAGGGGGATATTCTGTACCATACGGCATCAACATAGCAGAGAAACTTGGGTTAGTGAAAGAAAGGGGAGGAGAGGGGTGTTTTCCAAGGTGTTGGTTGCTCAGAGAATAGCTGAGCATCGTTCTGCTTGTGGGAGGTGATGAGTTACTGCCTTTGCATCACTTGATTTCATTTTTGTGTGTTTGTTTGTTTGTTTTCTCTTTCTTTAACACATTAAACTGTCTGTCAACCCACAGGATTTCTTGCTTTTTTCTTCCTGTTCTCTGCCCCGTCGTGCTGTTGGAGGAATGAGGGGTGCACAAGCAGCTGGATGGGTGCTTAGCTGCTGGCCAGGGTTGATGCACCACAATTGGAAGTAGAATTGTGAAACCACCACAGGAAAAAGAATAAAAGTCTGTTCCAGCTGCTCTCCCATTTGGGGACATTTTTCTGCCCCAGATTCCCAATGGCCACAGTTGTCTGTCTGTGTCTATAGGAGGGGGAGGGCAAATTGACACACTTGGTTTCATGTTTCCCTTTCCTTGATTCTAACTTTGAGGCCTCCACTGACATTTAACTATTGAAATTTTTGGAAAAATACCAGACCACAGGTGATAATATGTAATTGCTAATTGATAATATATAATTGGGGTGTTTCTGTTTGAAAGTAGATTTCTTTGGCCGTGTTCAGAAAAGATATGGTCTTTATGCTTTCCCAGGTACTAGGCAATACATTATTCAGAACCCCGATTTCTGAAGACAAATTTATTGGTGCTTTTTTTTCCCTGCCTTGTATTTATTATGTCACCTTTCCTACTGAGCTACTAGTGGATTAGAGGTGTGACAGCTTCATTTGACACTTTCTTGCATTCTATCTTCTTTATAAAAGCAAAACTTGGCCTTTTTTGTCTTTGCAGTGAACCGTGGGCTCTCATAAAAAATGAACTTAGGTTCAGAAAAACTGTCAAGTTCACCTCAAGACTTCTTACTTGACCTTTGCCTGTCACTGCTCTTGCCTCCATTTCTCTCTCTGTTGGATAGCATGATATTTAGTTTTGATGTTTTCTTTTTGACATCAGCATTTGGAAAAGTAGTGTAAGTACAAAGCGTAATTCGTTACTGTGTTATTGTCTTTGCATCCAGAGTTAATAGTCTAAATATCATGTTTGGATACATCCATAACAGAAAGCTTGTTTCGCTTTGAAGTGTGCAAATGCTATCTCCCTGCAGATGGAAAAGCCTGTACCAAGATAGGGGCTGGCCTAAAAGCTGTGTTCTTCCAAAATGTTTGCCCTCTCTCCCTGGCATTTTGTGTCTGTTACAGTCTGGATTCTGTACTGCAGAAAGTGTCTTAATTTTTGCTTTCTCTAGTGCCAAGCATAGTGTTAGTCCTGAAGTAATAATAATTAATCAGCAATGACATCAAGAAGTCCCCAGCTTGCATTAGCTGAGACAGATGTGCATCCTTTCCTAATGCGCAGTTACGAAATAGTGCATGGCACAAGAAGAGATTAAAAATTACTGCTTTAATTCTAACATGCCATCAGGTTATAAAGCTGAATATTGGTATGGTGCAGAAAACATGCCTATCTGTCAGACAAGTACTGTACTCGCCATTAGCAACTACGTAGTTTCTGGCATTAACAGGTCACAGAGCAATTCTATTTGTGTAGGGCTTGCTACTTCTTTTAAACAAGTTTGACCATTTAACTGGCATAGTTAAATTGGCATACCAAATTGAGTCCCAGTGGGGCTATTTTAATTCCAAAATTAGTCTGACTTTCTAGCTTAGTTTAAATCCCTGGTGGAGTAGGTTAGGATAAACTGAATAATCATAACAAATGAGTTAATCAGAGAGCTGTACTGTTCTTACCCTGTGAGTTGAGGGGCAAGTTCTAGTTTACCTCCATTTTACTTTTCTGTGTAGAGAAACTTTTCTATATAAGAAACAACTGTAATTAAAATTTACAATAGATGATTCTGCTCTCAAACATTCTGGGTTTAAATGCTAATGCTTTTCAGTAATTTCCTTCTTGTTTTGCTGCCTTCATTTTTGTTCCTCCAGAACATCACTTTGTGGTTACAATTTTAGGCTTTGTGTCCTACCATTTCTCTTCTAGCCAACTCTGCTCCATTATAAATGACAGGTAGCTTGTTTGAGGTACTGCATTAGCTCATAACCCTCATTCCTTTTGGTTTAGCTCCGTGGGTTTTCTTGCTACTGTTGTATCACTGTTTTAGAAGCACTGCAAAATCAGCAGATGGACAAATTATAGAAGCATTGAGCAACTCTGTCCTTTGAAACTGCTTCAGTTTATTCATTCAGAGCATGCTGAATTGCCTCACAGCAGACACCTTGGAGCATTTGTTGACGTTCACAGAATATCCGGAATTTTGCAGGTCCCCATGCAAACGGCTCAGTAGAAGCATTTATGTCTTCCAATACCTGCTTGATGAAAACAGGGCATTTTTTTTAACTGTGGACAGCAGTGGCTGTGTTCAGGTCCCGTGGTACTGTGGTTCTGCGTGTTCAGCTGTGATCTCTTAAACATGGCAGTAATGCTGTGGTCTCTCTGCCACATGCTTCATTCCCTTCCAATCATCTTACACATGGATTAGGTAGGTCTGTGTTCTGTGTTTTTAGTGATAGATACTTCTTCTACCTGCTTATATTCAGTGATTACAGAAATGTTTATCAATTTATCAGAGTAAACAGTAGAAAACTGTTTATTTCAAAATATAAAACATCATCTTACCTTATGTGCTTTCAATTACTTCCTCAAGATTGCAAAGCATTTCAGTGTTTATCTTCTTTTGCAAAACTGGGTTTTCTGCAGTGCGGGCAGGATGGCAGAGTTGCAGATGGGCAACATGTTTGTGTCACTGGCAGCTCCACCAGAGGCTGGTGAAACAGACTTTACACCTTCTTTACACCTTCATTATTGACACCAGGTAATTGCAGTCGTGATGGATTGGCCATCTTGTCTTTCACCTCTGTGTGTTTCCCCACTTTTAAAACTATGACTGTATCATAAAGGTCATGACTCTCCTATCAGTGACAAGGTCTTTTGCTCAGCAGTACAGCTGGGAAAAAAGTCCTCCCTGTGTGGCCATAAATTGAGTTACACAGGTGAAGGGCAGACCATCAAGTACAATAAAACTGATGGAGCTGTCCCAACTTTAATGGAGCCATTGCCAGTTTCCATCAGCCAAAGATGTTCAGTGTAATAGGAGAAAGATGAAGTCTCTTGTCTTCTCCTGTCAGCCCCACTCCAGAATATAGATCTGAGTTGGCACACATATAGAAAGAGGGCTGGCTATGTCAGAAAAAGGTCTGAGACCATATGTGGACAGACATGGAGTCAGTTGCCATCGTTGTGCCATCCTAATGTGAAGGCTCAGCAGAGCTCACAAGTGAAAATGCAAAGGGACATCAGCTGTAAAGCAAGAGGGGAGAAAGAAATTCCATGCTCTATCAGCTCTGCATGATGCAGTCCTAGATTAATAGGCTTACTGAGTATATCCATGATGCAACGGCTCTGCTCTCAACTTCTTTGTGAACTATGTCAGAAGTTTCTAGTTTCTATCTGTGACTAATGGGAAGCATGACATGCAATAATCCGATTGCATAGTTAGTGTAGGCTGTTTGCTCAGATTACTTGACTTGTCCTTTACCAGACTTTGATTTATATGGACATAATATGAAAAGGGCAGGCACAGTCCTTTGTTTGAGCTTTGAAAGAAAATGGAGGTATGGACAATTTACAGCTTGTGCTTTGTTGCTCTAAAGAGGTCTTGTGAATTTGTTGGAATAAATATTTTCAAACACTTGAAATAAGATGAAAAGGCACTAAATTAAGAGTGCCTTTTAAATTTGTGGCTATTGGAAAGAAGATACACTGCGTTGATTCACAGTAATTATTAAGATCATATTTTGTGGTTGAGATGCACAAAAATATCTTGACTGTTGCAGCCTCTTATCTCGAGAGAACAAAGAGCA